TGTGGAAAAATTCCTCTCCTGTCGAGTCAATGACCTACTGAGGTACGAAATCACTTTGTCGCCTTCAGGGTGCGGCTGGGTGAGAACGGCTCCAATGCCATAGCCAGAGGCATCAGTCTGCACTACAAACGGCTTGTCATAGTCCGGACAACTCAATATAGGTGCGGCCACGAGACATTCCTTGATCAACCTAAATGAACGTTCACACTCCTCACTCCATCTGAACTTACTACTTTTTTTGAGAAGTGATGTGATGGGTGCTATAATTGAAGAAAAATCCGGAATGAACCTTCTATACCAGCTAAAGGTTCCGACAACCATCCGAACTTCCTTCACGTTAATGGGAGGTGCAAGGTCTAACATCGCCTTAACTTTATCAGGGTCAACGTGCAAACCGTTCCTGTCGACGACGTAGCCCAGATACTTCATCTGTGGCCGGCAAAACTGACATTTATCAACACTTATTGTGATATTGGCTGAACGCAACCTACGGAAAACTTCATCCAAAAGTTCCAGATGATGCTCAAGGGTCTGACTCACGATAACCACATCATCGAGGTAAACAAAGAGGTTAGGTTCTAGATCGTGACCTAAAACGTTATCAATCAGCCGTTGCCAGGTAGCCGGGGCGTTATGCAATCCAAACGGCATACGACGAAACTGAAATAGCCCACGGTTGGGGACCGTGAACGCCGTATACTGTTTGGACGACTCAGCCATCGGTACCTGCCAATATGCGGATTTCACGTCCAAACTGGAGAGATATTTGGCATCTCGTAGCTTGTCAAGAGTGTCGGATACTAATGGCAGCGGGTAACTGTCGCGAACAGTGACTGAATTTAGTTTCCTGAAGTCAACGCAGAAACGAAATGATTCGTCTTTCTTCCTCACAAGTAGGATAGGTGATGACCACGGGCTATTTGAGGGTTCAACAATACCTAACTTGAGCATCTCCTCCAATTCAAGATCTATTTGCTTTTGGACCAGGGGATTCACGCGGTAATATCTTTGTTTTATAGGTGGGCTGTCCGTAACAATAACGTGTTCAGCCTTAGTGGTACAGCCTAAACCATTGCCCATCAATGCGACATTACGATCGATAACTGCCTGCAATCTCGCCTTCTCCATCGGGGTTAGCAAGGTTTGCCCATTAACATGCTGCAATGAATTGACTATAACCGGTTCCTGAGAAAAATGCCATTCGTTATGGCGCAGATCAGGTACTATTCCCATCTCCCTCCAAAAGTCAGCTCCGAGTATCAGCAAATGCGGTAGCTCCGGCACAACTATTGTCTCCACCAAACGGAACCTACCTCTCAATAAAACTGGCAATCCAACGACACCTATACTCTGGCAGCGTTTTCCATCTGCGACGGTACACGAAGTGGTCCTACTACTATCAACCAGTAATCCCAATTCCCGAATAATCTCTAACCCCTTAGCACCAAGTATGGTCCTAGACGCGCCTGAATCCAACAGCCCCAACAACGATTTACCCAACACCTCAACACGTAGATATGGTCTTTCATCTTCCACAGCATGGTCCAAAACGTAGTCCAGAAGAATCTGGAGTTTGTCGATCGAATGCTCCTTCTCGACACGTCCATCTCGATCAGCTAGGAGTGCCGGCGAGCGTTTCCCTGCTGATTGCACACTGGACAGCTCTTTACAGTTACCCCCTCTTTTTTACACCTATAACAAAATTTTCCGCTTTTCACAGCACAACCAATTGCCCTGTGACCTGGTTGATTACATCGGAAACATATTACCTCCTGTGACGAGCCTGCTACATTCCTAACTGGACTACTGACAACCAACTGACAGCTGTCAACAGGAGTATCTACATCAACATAGGCGAGATCGGCCTCTAATGCACCACTTCTCCGACTAGGCGGAACGAAATTCTCGACGGCCTCCTTTCTAGCTTCCAGTCGCCGACCTAAATCGCGAAGGTGGGAAATTGAAGTAACATCAACCAAGGCCAACTGATTTTGGTAAAATGGAGCTATGTTTTTCATAAGTACTTTCAGTTTGGTCTCCTCAGGTACCGGACACGTAAGTCTATTGAAATAACCTGTCATTACAGCTAAATAAATCCCTATCGACTCGTCTGGCCCCTGAGTTCGTTTTCGTATTTCTTCAAAAAGTTTTTCATTGTAATTCGGGGTTAAATACTCTTCACGAAGTAAGTTCACTAGTTCATCCCACGAACTAACCTCTTGACGATACGCGAGATAAAACTGGTAAGCTCTACCTGTAAATAAGTCAATTCCCGATTCAAGTAAAGTGTCTTTGGAAACATGTCGTGCGACCCTCAGTTCCTCGACTCGTTCTAGGAACGCACTTAAAGATAAGCCTTTCTTATCACCCGAAAACTTAATGTCCCATTTATTCGGGAAGATTGATTTGACAGATGATGATTGAGGTGGAGGAGACGGTTGATTAGTTGGTATGCTTGAGGACCTTCGACCTTGAGATATCCCCGCTGTGAAGCTGGCTTGTTGCAATAGGTTCATTTGAGCTGGAACATCTAGAGCAGCCTCAAAATCAGAAGCCCTTTGCTCTAAACTTTCCAAAAGTGACAAAGTTTTAGCCAGTATTCCAGGTCGGTCAGCTGAAGTCTCGTCGATATGATCTATCCTAATCAGAATATACCGCAATTTCGCATGATATTTCTGATAGGCCCCACTATTTGAAGAGTCCTTGAAATCATTGATGAGTGGCTCTAAATCACTCAATTTTTCCTTCACCGCCTGAACATCTTCGTCCACAGTGAATGGATACTTTGGCCACAGTACTGTGTCTCCACTTTTCTCCATTCTCATTGCCATAGCTAGTGTATGCCGCATTTCCTCCACCGTGCCGGTGGCAATACCTCGGATACGAACCAAATATGACAACTCCTCATGATTGAGACGATTTGGTGGAATTCGACGAATCATAATTGAAATTTTGGATATCGACTATAACAACCTCTAATTGGTCGAAAATTCCCAAAAATTTAAAAAAAAAAATCGGAACGAATTTTAAGAAACTAACATTCAAGGTCACTCTAACCTTGAAAGGCCCCACGTTGGGCGCCAAAAATGCAACCTACACAAATCGTGCTGATGCACCAAGGTCACTAGACCACTATAATTGGGTAGTAGTGGGCATCCGCGCTAGCAATAGCCGAAGGTGGGGTGGGTCGAAGAAAATGATTTGGTTTTCAGTGAAAACAAGATTTGATGGTCATGGGCGCCAGGCGAATTTCTAACCCCGCGTAGATACCCTAAACAGTTCAAACTCAATCTCCAAATTCACCAAACGAGATTGAGGCAGATTCGAGTCAGAAACGTTAAACAATAAAATTCGAGTTAACCTTGAATGTATTTATTACACCTTGAACTAAATCAGTCCCTATTCAGTTCCTGTCGTAACAATCCATACTAATTAATAACATATAAATCTCTAAAAATATCCACTTTGGTTCACTGGTCTATATAAATGAAAAAAAAATAGTCAGTTACTCCATAGTAACTGGAGGTATTAGGGAAACAAAAAAATATAACGGTGAAGCACTAAGTACAACTAAGCAGTGATTGGCACAAACATAGCATAGCCAGGCAAGCATCGACTACTGGGGCGAGGGCTCACGTAGAAATTAGAGGGTTGATACCAATAAAGCGTAAATAGCAAATACTTATTATGTCCAGTTAGGGAATACGCAACGCATGAGCTCAGGCGCAGGTATATAGACAAGTTGGGAATACTAACTAATTTTCCACGTTCAGTCTCTATAATTTCTACTCACATAACCCAAGCAGTATGATCTAAACCCAAATATCTTTTTATAAACATCTAAAAGGTCAAGTCGATGAAACAGTAGTGAGCAACGCCATAATTTATGATAGCAACGATAGTAAGCAAAAAAAAATCCAATGCTGTATGCCTAACAGCCAATTCAGCGAGGAGATACACAATAACAGCAAGCATAGGTAAAATAGCAATTCATATACATCAACAAATATAGCAAAAAAAAAAAATAGCAGTAATATATCATGCGCAGCAAAGTATCAAGGTCAATATATATGATGCAAATTTAGCAAAAAAAATATATCAGCTAGGTATTCGTAGCAACTTGCCAAACTCTATATAACTATAAAGTAAATTCAGTATAAAGTTGAGCACACAAGCAAGCACAGCCAATATAGATATCAAACTCTACAATATAAAGCAAATTCGGCATGACCGTAAGAAAGCATAGCAAACAGCAAATTCTTCAGATATAAAATAAATGTAGCATAAGAGTAAGCATATGGTGCAAAATTAGCAAATTTAGCAAGTTCTATAAATATGTAGTAAGTTCAGCTTGATAGTAAACAATCATGGCGAGCATAGCAAATGTAGCAAATTCTATGAATATGTAGTTAGTTCAGTTTGATAGTGAACAATCATGGCAAACATAGCAAATGTAGCAAACCCTATATATGAAGCAAGCAAAAGCAGAAAAAAAATAAGCAATCAGCAAATCATAGCAAACTCAGCATAAACAAACAAAATTCAAAAACTTGCGTGTCCTCTAGTGGCTTGTTAAAGTTGAGACACCCTGTATCACACAGGTGGTAGGTCGCAGCGTTACGGCAACCTCCTTCTAGTACTGCTTTGCCTGACCAAACGAATCTGATTCTGCTATAGTATCATGCACCATGCCCAGTGTATAGTTGACTTCGAGCAACCCAAAGTTGGTATCCTCAAAAAAAAAACCCTGGCCAAGAGGTTTTATGTTCTGACAGCACATATAATGGTGGAGAGGTGTCCTTCAAGTGATTATAGGCCTTATGTACTTGTCATTAAGGGTCTGGCAATATTCCAGACTGATATTCAACAAATTAAATAGCTGATGTCCGTAGAGCCGTCTCGATCACTTCATGTATGCAGGAGAATGGTGAACTTTCAAATCCTCCTAAGAGTCCAATCTTGGGGTAGTACTCCAAAATACACACCAAATAACGATAACCTTACACCAAGATTAGTAAAAATGGTCGACAAAAATAATCCCTAACTAGGATGACCAAAATAATCAAAATTTTGTGACCAAACGGTTCACCATCACTTTTACTCCCAAACACGAAGTAACGAAATGGGCCGACTCCACTCGAACCCAGCAGGGGTCGCTTCCAGCAGCAATCCTGCTTCCAGCCTATCAGAACCCTTTCCATGAACACGGAATTACAATCTGAAGTCTCCACCTCTGTTGGATAGGTGTCGACACCATAAAGGATATGTTTATTGCCTTAAAATTCCGGAAAACTGATGGGGATTCTCAGCAACACCCGAGTTCACCTCCTACAGCCTATTACAGGCAAGTCAGGACTTATATTTCCCAAAATATAGTCCATTATACAATCAAAATTCCAGGACTTTCCTGCTATTAGAGCTGGCAACGCCGCCCTAGAGATGGGCGCAATTCCAGCAGTAACATATCGTTACGGTTGAATCACAGTTGAATGCTCATCTCCTGGGTCCGACCAACCATGGACTATGGAATTCGAGAGCCAGTCGCCGAAACCTATCTTCAGGCAGACCAGCGATTCGGTGGCCGACCATCAGCGATTCGATCAGCTGATCGAAAATCAAAACAACAGACGGATGCTGAATCAAAAACTCCTTCGAGATGATCTATAAGTTCTATAACATAAGACGAATAAATTAATAATGTCCTAGGAGTCCCAGGTACGTTTTATTATTTACTTTATTATTGTTCATCATCGACTATCTGTGCTAATAAATGAACGAACGATACTACGAATACACCACAGTTATACTTAAATCTAATTATTTACATTTTTGTTGCAGGACGGAGCAAGAAGAGATAAATTCATCGAAGTAGTGCTGGAACGAGTCGAAGAAAGATCAACAAAGAATAGATTCCCGATTCAACTGCCTGGACGTTATTGTACAGTTTGAAGCAGTGCCAATATTGTTTAGTTTAATTAGTTTCTGTGTTGTGACAATAATGTTGAATAAATATACAGGGTGAGTAAATATGGGTTTCATTCAATTTTTGAAGCTTCAGAGATAGATTATTATTTAACGTGGAAATTCAACGTTACATGATTACCAATTTCATTCGAATTACTTGGGAAGTTGCAACAAACTTTTTCTACCCAGGCAGAGAAAGTACTTCTTTGCCGCCTGTTAAAGTGCCATAGAGAAGCTACTTTCTATGCCGTTTGGAGAAAAATACATTTCCATTTTGTTCAAGTTCAAGTTCGTTCCTATTTTCGAAAATGAATCAGTGCGCTTGAAGACATGAACCTAAAACCACGAAGTAGGAAAGGAATGATTCTTAACAAAAATCGTTATGTTGGAAGTATTTGTCTTCGAAATTATTCCACAGGGTGTTTCGAAATCAGGGTTATACAAATTTTCAATCAATCGTGTATAATGATTAGTATGCTAGCATTTAATGAAATACTGGATATGCAAGTTGAGATTAGTTTATCCACAGTAAGCTGAAGAAATTGAAAGTTGAGCCAAGAATGGAGAAGTTATGAAACCGAAAATGTTTCCAAATATTTACTTGTTGCGTTTTTTTCGTCTGAGTGTATTTTATTCACAATTTCAACGCCCGTATGTCGCAAACAAATCATTCTGCGACCGAACTTCATATTTTTTAGACGCCTTAATTGTATTGCTCTCTATAGATACTATGAAATCTAATATATACAAATATCCTGTCTCTATCAAAGTGTTAGGAGCCAATAAACTCCCCCGACACTGGTCGATCGATTTGTATGAAAATTTTTGTGCGTATTCGGTAGTTATGAGAATCGGTCGTAAGCTATTTTTTGAATTGGAATTCAAAATGGAGAATCCAATATGACGGACGTGTTTTGTAATCAGATTTTATTCAAAATTGGTGAGTATCCGGGGGTTTCGTGGTAGAAGATTATGATTCTTTCGTCAAAATTTGGCAAATTCAAGATGGCGGATCCAATATGGCATCCGAGTTTTGTAATTATAGTCTGATTCTAATCAAAATTGCTATCTGGAGATTTTCGGGGTCTGAGATTATGAATTCTTCGTCAAAATCAGAAAATTTTAAATGACCGATCCAATATGGCGGACGAGTTTTTTTAACTAAGGCCGATATTCTATTTAATTTTTGGTATTTGGGGGTTTTCGGGATCGGAGATTATGATTCTCGCATCAAAATTTGGGAATTCAAGATGACGAAGGAGTTTTATGATCCGATTCTATTCAAGATTGGCGTCTGCGGTTTTTGACGTTGTAGATTTTGATTCTTTCGACGAAATTCGAGATATCGGATATATGGTGGACGAGTTATGACCCGATTCTATTTAAAATTGATATCTGGGGGTTTTCGGGGTCGGAGATTATGATTCTCTTTTCAAAGATCCAATATGGTGGACGAATTTTGTAATTATGATCCAATTCCATTCGGAATTTGGAGAATAAAGATGGCAGATCCAATATGGTGGATGGTATTTTTGTAATTATGATCCGATTCTATTCTATCCTGGGGTTTTCGGAGATCATGATTTTTTTGTTCAAAATTGTAATGAATGAAAGTTTGAAAGACTATAATGAAACACGCTTTCATAGATAGCCAAAGTCGAGGCCAAACTGAGAAGTAGTGAAAATTGATAGTATAGTTTGTAAAACGAGATAGATTGTCGAACTAAAAAGAAGTAGAAAATAAATGGTGGTTTGAAAAACTTATAAAACACGATTTTATGAATAGCCAAATCTGAAAGAAGGAGTAGAATTCAAGATAATAAAAGTTTGTTGATGAATATTCAACTGAAAAAATATTTGCTAGAAATTAATGTATATAGCAAAACGACGTTTGCCGGGTCTGTTATTGCAATAAATAGTAGTTTGAAGAACTTATGAAACACGTTTTTGTAGATAGTCAAAATAAGAAGAAGTAAGTAAAGAAAATAAAGAGTAGTTTGAAAAAATTAAGAGATAAATTAAAGAAGTAGGAAGAAGTAAAAAATGAATAGAATAGTTTGGAAAACTAAAGGAAGACGCTGTTATTGATGTTGATCAATATTTAACGAAAACTATATTTTCTAGAAATAATGTTTATGGCAATACAACGTTTGCAGGGTCAGGTGGTACTCTCTATAAGAATCTGAATATAAAAAGAGGTTCTTACCATACAGTCTCAAAGTTCCTTCAGCTCTTCCCAAAGAATTAGTAGAGACGCAGTTGTAAGTTCCGATATCGCTAGACGAGAATGATTTTATCACCAGCCACATGAAAACTTTATAGCCGCTTCTGTCTTCTCGTATGGCGTATTTCGATCTGAAATAAAAATGCGGTAATAAAGAACATCGAGGAATTATATGGATCTCCGAGTCGAAACAAAGTTAATTAAGAGAAGAACAACGAGAAAATGGGAGAGGCAGTTTTCCACTCAAATATTTACTTTCCCGCATCACATACAGGGTTTTTCTCGAGGTCAGAGTTTCATCATGCCGGGTGCCTGGGAAGACGTGGAAATATCATCTGATTCAGATAGAACTTGAAGAAGAAAATGACAATTCCTATGATTTACTCTTCATACGAAGACTTGGTTTCCTAACGGACGTCACTGAAAATGGGTTTTTCTTAAATAACTTTTGAAGTGATTGACATAATTCAATGAATATTCTATATCAGGGAAATTCTATATGATTCGCACAGATTTCTCAATGACATGATATATATGTTTCGCTAACATAGTAGCATCTTCAAGCGAAATAATCATACAATAAACTTACATGACTATGACTTGCATAACTTATGTTGCATATACAGTGTCATCCATAAAGTCAGTAACATAATATGAGGAAACGTTTATTACTGAAGTAACGAGCATTTTTTTCTAGGGGATATAATATACATGCCCGATAAACTGAAAATACATTTTGAGACATTTCACATGATTTCTGATGGTACATGGCGGTTAATCAAAAACATAGTAGTAAAAATAGAGAATCACGCTTTGATAGATAGCTAAACTGAAAAGAAGTAGAAAATAAAATAATTAAAGTTTGCAGATATATAAATACACAACATAGAAAATACTGCTTAGTTGTAAGATAGTGAATTATTAATGTTCATAATATATCTGAGGATATTTCTTTTCAATATTGAAAATACTGATTACGGAGGTGTTGAAATTTTCTGATATGTTGTATATTTATCAACAGACTTATTTCTGCGATCGGCTCAAGAGTCGTCCACTTTTGTTCCAAAATTAGCTCTTGAAGTTGACGTCTCTCTTAGTGACACAATTATATTAGGATGTATGTTGCTAGGCAAGACTTTTAGTGTCTAGAAGCTAAAGCTGAAGTTCAACTTGTGGGAACTGGAAACTTGTCGGATGATAGCTGCTATCACATCGACATGCTCACGTGACTCAAAATAGTGGTATTTTCACTTTTTTTTTGTTAACCCATTTAATGTTCAAAGTTCGGAAACAATTGTTATCAAGTTTTCACCCAATAATAAGTTTGTTTTTATGATAAATAGAATACTTTTTGTTGAAAAATGAACCAACATTTATAAGGAAGAAGAGAAAATGGATGTCCCTTGAAAGGAACGTTGTACAGCTGATAACATAACAATTATTGCATAATGGAATGGAATATTTCGGGTATAACTGTTTATCGCACTTGGAACAAATGCCAGTGCTAACAAAAACTTTCTGAAATAATTTCGGATACATCATTATCTGATGACCAGTTCATCTATTCGTTGGAATATTTTCCATATCAGAATGATGGGAGAACTCCAAAGGTCACGAATAGTTCATTTTCAGTCAGAATCAAATTGAGGTTTGTCTATACATATTATATAGAGTTGTCTGCTGCTCTCTTTTTTTGAAAACTAATTCTAGAACTACAAGATTTCTTCTTTACATGGATCTCTTTGATGATCTCTGGAGATTTCTGCTGAACATAATCCTGCTTTGACAATTTCGGCTTCCTGAACTTTTTTCTGGATGAGACATACATCCACCATAAGTTGATTCCAAGTACATAGATAGTCAGGAGTACTCATGTATCGTGTTGGTCGAAGACACATTCAGCAGATAGTGTATCTGGTCCCAGACAATTATTAGCTTGGTTTTCATCATCAGTCTCTTCACTATCTACTGGAGGTGTCATTGGAACATCACGTTCCTAAAAATCTTCATCTTTTATAATTTGTAGATGTTGGTGTAAGGATGATCTGGGACACTGAGTATGATGTCCGGGACCGGCATATTTTGCTGCTATTTCTAGTCACTGACACGAATATTTTCGACAAGTTCATTTATGTTTCACTTCTACATACATATATTCTGGACTGTACCCTTTCAATCTTATGTGGAAAATTTTGAAGAATTGATGCCTGTTGTCTTCCTTGAAAACTTGATTTCATACGAGTACTTGGTGCAAGACACAGCTGTCTCTCTGGATGTGAATATTCTCATTCTCATACTTCAGATCCTGATCAGAATAATGGAAGAAAACTGAGTAATTAAGCTATTATTATTAAGTTTCAAATGAATTCGACGTTCTGAAGTGGCTCAAAATCAACTGTCTCTCTGGATGTAAATATCCATACAAGTATTTGGTGCATGACAGGGCCGTGTCTCACGGTATGAAAAGCATGGTAGGAAGTTATTCGAAGGAATAATAACGTACAGGGTGAATCACCATAAATGTCCCTCACTCACTCACTTATTTTTGAACCGATTTCAGAATTTGAAAAACCATCTGAAATTATTTTTCAGAATTTTTTTATCCGCTACATCAGAAAATGCAGGGTGCTTGGAACAAACAATCTACAAGGTAGTAGTAGATTATTTCAGATAGGACCCTATGTATTGGGTCTAGCGGAATACAGAGATATAGGGTTTTCAAAATCGAGATTTTTCAATTTTAGGATTTTTTTGTGTCTAAACTATTCATGATTGGTCAGAACGACTCACATGTCCTATCTCAACTTTTGATGTTCTTTCTACTGAAATTTAATTGGAACAAAACAGGGTGGTGCAAGATTCAGAATTTTGATCACCCAGTATCTGTTCCAATTATTGAATATCAGTCGGTGGTAAATCGATAGTTGGGAAAAAAAGCCGTTTCAACCACTCATGAATAGTTTCGACATAAAAAATCCCCGAGTTGAAAAATATAATCTCCAAAAGTTCAAAAAAATTCCAATACCTACCTCCTGTCCTTATCCTCCCTAGGAACGCACGATGTTCTTTGAACATTACAGGGATTCCCTTTCCCGTGCGCTCCAAGCGATAAAAAAAAATATATCGATTTTGAACACCCTATATCTCTGTAATCGTTCCCGCTAGACCTCAAGTGTGATTTATAGATGACATCAATTCTTGTTCTTTGTTCTGAGCACCCTGTATTCTCTAATGTAGTGGACAAATAATTCATCAGAAATCTTTTCATATGAAATTTTGGTGGTGGAACATAATCTCCATTTTTTTCGGGATGAAATCGCTCATCCTGAAGATATTGATCAGGATAATGGATCAAAACTTTTGAATTATGTCATTGTCATCGGTCCCCAAGTGTGATGTATTGATGAAATCAATTATTCAGGGACAATCTGAAAATGCAAGGAATGAAATCGACTAGTTACCTGTTGATCGTTTTTTCTGAACACCCTGTATTTTCTGATGTAGTGGAAAAACACTTCGTCAAAAACCATTTCAAATGATTTCTCAAATTTTTCGACCGGTTGAAAAATAGCTGAGCTAGAGGGGGGGGGGGGGAGGAATTATGGTCAATCACCCTGTATGTATGAGATTTTGGTGGCGAAACATCATCCCAATCTTTTTCGGGAAAAAATCACTCATCCTGAAGATATTGATCAAGATAATGGAACGAAACAAATACCGTTATTGTCATCGGTCTATGATGAATTGATTCAATTTGACGTTTCTAAGTGGGTTAAAATCACATTCCGTTCATAAAAACTTACTCACCAAGCTGATGAAAGCGGAGTGGAAAAATTACTATGAAGAGGCTAGATATCGAGACAAGTTGTTGTTGTTTGAAGCAGTTGCTTCGAATTTTATTTTATATTACTTACTGAGTTTCAAGTAATTATTCGAGCAAGTACCTATTTATTTCGAATACTTTTTGATCTCATCACAAGAGGGAGTTCACCATCGGCTGAAAAAGTCCTCGAGATAGACCTATGTAACATCAGTGGTCTGAGTAAGAACATCAACGATGTCCATCGACACCTTCAGACTGAAAAGCAAGAAACTGACTGAAAAGCTCTGACTGAGACACAGGTCAATTTATCCACCAATACTATACCTAAATGCTCTGTCCTGGGTACGAACTCCACACACGCTACAGGTTCAAGAAAGGTCTCTACCTCTTTGGGACTAAATGTGTTTGATATAATGTGGTTAAAACTCGTAACAGTGAGCTGAGACGGGTTTTTGGGGGGGTTAGACAGAGTAAAGAATACGCCAGGAGTAGGAGCTGGAACTGGAACTTTATTCGTCCGCGTGGTACTTCGGCTATTATAGAAAACACTCATCTCAATCAATCCATAACAACTAAAATCATCGTATTCATTTACCTATTATAGAAACACCAGGTTGCACAATAATTCCCATACAGGGGTAAAATACTGACCAAACCGAAAGGTTGCCTCTTTACATCACCGATTCGGACCCAACGTTAACTTCAACCAGACATTTAAAGTTTAAATGCACCTGACAAGGGGAACGACCTCCGCGCTGCGATCGCTGACCGTTAAGGAAGTTTGAAAAAACAGTTTCCGCGCGCCAAATTCAAAACAAATAAAGGAATTAATATAGTCGATGGAAGTCTGTCACAGAACCACAGGTTAAGGCAGACGGACGCTGCGGCGGCTGAGTATAGTTCACGAATCTTGGACTAGCAAGTTATATGGCAACACGGTGGCTCGGGACTGGCAACACTGTCACCCGACACGAACTCATTTTACAATATGAAATACGAAGAGCGAAAAGATAAGGTTAGGATCGTGGACCTAACCTACAATATGAAGAATGTAAATAACAAATTTATTACAGCCGATGAACGATTAATATTCCAGCTCACCTGCCCACCTCTGAAGCGGCTGTATCTGTCAAGAAACGCCTGCTTCACCACCATAATAAGGCCTTAAATGGCTCACGTGAAAAATTCCTCTTTCTTTGCCATTTTCAGGGTCTTCCAACACATAAGAAGCAAAACTAACAGGTTTTTTAACACGGTATGGACCTTCAAATAATAGTAGAAATTTCTTTGTCTCTTGATTAACAGCAGAAGAAATTGGATTCGCTTTTAATAACACCATATCACCATTAGAAAAAGTAGGATAGGGCCGACTAGGAAAACGAGCAGCTCGTCGGGCTGCTTTGCCTACTAGGGTTTCTCTCGCCAGTATGAGTTTCTGGTCATACCCCAATTCATCTCTGTTGGCCGGACGAAATCTTTCTGGCAACAAACTTAACCGTTCATGACCAAACTGTAATTCGTTTGGGGAATGACCAGTGGATTCATGTGTTAAAGAATTCAAAAAATTAGTTATATTTGAGACTTCCCAAGCCCAACGGGTGTGTTGTCCTGAGCAATAGGTGCGAAACAATCTGCCAAGTTCTTTCATAACTCTTTCTGCTGGATTTGCCTCAGGATGTCGAACAGAAGTATACATGACCCTTACACCATGCTGCTCTAGAGTTTTTTTCCACAACGATGCAGTAAATTGTGTCCCTCTATCCGAGAGGATGCTTTGGGGGAGGCCTACATTGGGGAAATAGTCATTTTCAAGGCGGTTGAGGCACGCCTTTGCAGTAGCTTTTCGTAAGGGATATAAGGCCACAAATTTGGTGAACAGATCTATGACAACTAAAAGGTAGGAAGCGCCAGCCCTACTTTTTGGCAATGGCCCAAACAAGTCCAAAGCAACTATCTGACCTCTTCCAGGAGGCAAAATAGGGTTCACAGGAGGCTTTGGCAGACTAACTGATTTTGCTTTTTGACAAATATGGCATGTTTTAATCACCCTTTTTATATCCCGATACATATTAGCCCACCAGACCTCAGACCTGAGCACTGTCCAACACTTATAGGACCCATAATGGCCTAAAGCCTCATGATAAGCATTTACAAAGTCTGTCACCAATGATGATGGTACACACAACAAACACCTTTCACCCTCACCTCTCCTTAAATAGAGTATATCATTGAAAATTACAAACTTTTTATTGATGGATTCCTCCTGCATATTTTGTTTAATACTAGCCAATTTGACATCACGTTCCTGATACTCACTAATCCTGTTTAAAATGTTGACAAACGTAGGTGGGAGACTCAAAAAAGACATTATTTTGAAACATTTATCTTGTGGCACTGGTGGCCTTGCACAAGAATGGCGCGAAAGCGCATCCGCCACTACATTTTCTCGGCCTGGAACATACTTAATGTCGAAGTTGAACTCTTGTAAGGCAAGGGCCCACCTTCCTATACGTGGTGATAGTATTCTACAAGTCTGAAGATATACCAAACCCTTATTATCTGTGTATAAAGTAAATTTCCTACCCAGCAAATATATCCGCCATTTCTGCATCGCCCATACTGCAGCAAGAATCTCCAACTCACTGGCATGATACCTACGTTCTCTATCAAGTAGCTGTCGACTGGCCCAAGCCACAGCTTTCCTTTCTCCGGAAACAACCTGAAAAAGTTGTGCTCCCAGCCCAACTTCTGAGCTATCAGTTTGGAGACAAAAAGGCAGTGAATAATCTGGGTGATACAATATCGTCGCCTGTTCCAGTTTGAACTTAACATTCTCAAATGCCAGGTCCTGTTCTGCGGTCCATTTCCAGGCATTCTTTTTCCTTAAGAGCTGTGTGAGGGGTTCCAGAGTTGTAGAAAAATTTGGACAAAAGGCCCTATCGAAATTGCACATCCCTATAAATCTCTGCAGCTCCTTGACATTAGCTGGTTTAATATAGTCCCGAATAGCCTGAATTCTACTAATATCTGGCTTAATGCCTTCTGAGCTAATTATATAACCGAGAAACTTGATTT